GTTCCACCATCAGATTTCTCATTCCTTGAGCTTTCATCACCTCTTTCCCAGGGTTGGAAGTGAGGAAGGTACAAGTGCTCTTTCCTTTTTTTTGGTCTCTGAGCCCTTTGGGAAGCTTCTGATCCTCCTGGCCCCAGGCAGGAATCATTTACTTTGCACTTTGGGGAGTAGAACAGGGATGGGGCTTGGATCCTTTTACCAGGCTGTGACCTGTGTGGGGTGAGGGACACCGGGACTGTGTAAGAGATGTGCTAGAGGATTTGGAGTTTAGAACAGAGGAGAAGCTGGTTTTGGTCTGCCTGGAGCTATTTCCATCACTCCCAGGGGAATTCTGCAGAGAATCCTTTTGTTGGAGAACACATTGCAATGGGAGCAGAGGCTGGGACTAAATACAGAGCACAGATTGCCCAAAGCCTGACCTGTGCTGTGCTGCAAGATGCCAAATCTGTGCTCTCCAGGGAGTTTTATCATTTCCAGTCTCTTTGCCTACTGCCATTTGCAGCTGACTTATGGATTTGTGTTCCCAGGTAAATGGCACTAAACCTCTCCAAAATCTGAGGTCCAAATGGATTTTATGGGGCAGTTAGAAAACACCTGAACAAAAGCCAGGTGGCATTTCAGTGCCAGCTCCCCAGTGCCCTGTGAGGGCTGGCAGAGGTGCTGGGTTCAAAGCAAACCTGAGCTCTTCCTTCCCAGTGGATGAATGGAAAGAAGGAGCGTGGAGGGAGGTGACAAGGAGGTGACACTGGGTGCTGCTGGAGGTGGTTGGAGCTCTGCTCATCCCTGGAAATAATCTCTGACATCTCCGAGGTATTTTTAGCTGCCTCCACCTGCCAGTGCCTCGCTGTCCTTGTCTGATTTCAGATCCTAGCTTGGGGAGTAATTACCTTTTCCTGTTTGAAATGAGGGAGCAGCTCTGGCCTTGCTGCTCTGCTGAACTGCAGACACCCCCAGCCATGAACTGCACCCAGCAGATTTGGTTGCTCTGGAGCTGCCTAGGCCCAGGGGATGAAGTGCCATTGTTTGCAGAGCTCCCAGCATTTGTCAGCTCAGCTCCTCCTGTGCTTTTCCTGCAGGCAAAGTCACTTTTCCGGGAGTTTTCAGAGAGCTAAGGGCATGAACTCTGCCTTGCCTGGATTCTCCCCAGGGCGTGGCCTTTTCCTTCCCTGCTTCCAGGAGCAGGATGAAGCTGTGCTGCTGAAATGAGGAGTGAAATGTGGAGCTGGGGGTTTTTCCTGTGTTTAGAGGCTGGGTCAGAGTGAGAAGTGCCACTGGGAAGAGCCAGGACTCACCTGGAAAACCCTTCCCAGGATGGGCTGGGGCAGAGCCTTCAGTAATCTGCCTCTCCTGGGTTTATTCACCCCTCAACACAGGACTTTGCTCGGGGCTGAGTGCTGGAGCAGTCCAAGGGGCAGGGAAAACACAGAGCACTTGTGTCCCTCTGCAGCACCTCGGGTTTCTCCTGGGGCCAGAAGGGATGGTTGGGTAAGGGTGATAAGCCAGGCTCTTCCTCCTCAGCTGCCTGAGCCTGGGCTTGGTGTTATTTTAGTGTCCTCAAGCAGTCAGCACTTCAGAAGGCTGTCTGGAAGCCTTGAGCCTGTCCACTTGGAGGCCTTCCTTCCTGGCTAATTTGAGCAGTGTTACATTCTTTGAGACCTGCCTGGGGATTGGGACCTTGTAAAAATTCCTGCTAACAAGCCCTGGAGCGCTTGCTGCTCTTGGAGATGCTCATTAATCAACCTGGAAGCATCTGTAACTGTGCAGGGAAACAGGCCCTTTTCTGTGCCTGCTGCTGAGGCTGAGGGACCATCAAACCCCTCCTGGATGCCACCTAAAACACCCGGGCATGTTTCTCATGTGTTTACCCCTGTGTAATACTCAGAATATTTTCCTCTGCTCCCTCTCTCGTGCAGAAGCAGGGTGGTGGTAAGTGTTGGAGCCAGCCCAGGTTCCTCCAGGCTGGCTGCTAAAGCTCCTTGGCTCTCTGTGTCCTGCAGGAGTCAGAGTCTGAGAACAAGCTGGATGGAGAGACAGCATCAGACAGCGAAAGCAAATCTGAATTTGGGGGTTCATCCCCAGTGCCGACCTCGGATGACACCCCAGAGGTGCTGAACAGGGCCCTCTCCAACCTGTCTTCGAGGTAACACTCCCTGAGCAGGCTCTGTCCATCCTGTCCATGAAGTGGCACTCCCTGAGCAGGTTTTGTCCCCGAGGTGACACTCCTGAGCATCCCCCTGTTCCCTCCCAGGGCTCTGCACCTTCCCCGTGGTTCCCTGTGGCTCTGAGGCTGCTGGAAGCTGGAGGAGCAGCCTCTCCCCAGCCTCTCCCCAGCCTCTCTCTGCCCCTGGGGCCATGGGAAGCAGCAGGGTCTGAGCACTGCTGGAGGGGTCTCTGCTGAGTCCTGGCAGCTCCAGGCCTGGGTGGGGCACACCCACAGAGCTCCTGGGTGGCTTTGGCAGCACAGGTTTGAGCTGTGGGGGTTTTCAGCCCCTGCTGGCACTGAATTCTGCAGGAATGCTTGAGGAGTTGCACTGTTAAGGACAGAATTTGGGAGCAAGCCGGGGATATTCTCCACAAACTGCTTGGGAGGAAATTCTCCTGTTTATATCACAGGAGAAGGTGCCTTTCCTGAGTGTGCTGTGAGGATGGGAGAGGCTCCCAGCGGGAAAGCAGTGAGGGTACAACATGCCAGGGGCCATCTCTCCTCATGCAGAGCAGTGTAGAGAGGGGAGATGGTCCTCATTTTATTTGAATTTATCCTGCAGCTTGTCCAAGGCGTGGGAAAGCTGCAGCAGGACAGGAGCAGAGGCTGCCCTGGCCCATCAGTGCCCTGGGAGATGCTCAGCTTCCTGCATTTAGTGAGGTTGAAGTGCAGCTGCTGCAGCCAGGCCTTTATCAGCACATCAAGGTCTCTCTGCTGCACTGAGAGGAAACTTGGGCTTGCCAGGGCTCAGTTTGCTTCCTGTGACACACAGAGAGCAGAAGTACTGCTTGGCTGCTTTGCTCTGTCTTGTCTTCCTCTGATGTTTTCCTTCTCTGTGGCCCAGATGGAAGAACTGGTGGGTGAGAGGCATCCTCACGCTGGCTATGATCACCTTCTTCTTCATCATCATCTACCTGGGCCCCATGGTCTTGATGACAATAGTGAGTGCTCCAGAGAGGTGTTCTGACCTTCCCTGCAGCAGGGAGAGGTTGTGGGGAGCTCAGGGCCTTGGGTTCTAGAGATTCTGGATTCCTCTCTCCATGCAGGAAACCTGGGAGGAATCTGCTAGTCAATATTGGGCTGCAGTTGGAACTCACACAAAGGGTTGTTAAAAACCTCCTGCAGAGGAAAGAGGAGGGAAAAATGCCATCCCGAGCATCCCATGTGGGATTGGGAGGGAAAAATGCTATCCTGAGCATCTCATGTGGGACTGAGAGGGAAGAATG